CTCCCTCTTTAACCTAATTTCTAGCCTCCTTATTCTTCCATAATAACTCCCCTAAGCACTCCAAGGAATCTATACTTAACCCGAGGTTCCGTCCTTAAACCAAGGCGTGAAAGGTACAAATAACTGAGGGTTTGGACCAAATCAACTCTACTTTTTATTTGATTTAATTTCCATTTACTTGATATTTTTTTATTGAAGTTACTAACAGTTTATTCGTGATGTAGCAATTTAAAGGAACGTGCTGAATGTAAGTAATTAATTAAATTAATTACTCTTATTTTATTTTATATTGCTAGTATCATGATTAGGTTATTTTATATTTGATTTAACTAACACTATTATTGTTAAATTGCTTCCAATATTGATGTTATTCTATTATTATTTTATTCACCATATTGCATGTTAAAGGGAATATGTAATTGAAAACCACGACTAATAAGATAATTTGGACAACCGGTTTAGGTTCCTTTTTAATCTTGTTGTTTAATCAAGTGATCACCAATATTTTAGAATAATATGTTGCATTAATATTCAACCAATTTAGCTTAATAATAGTTTGGAGCGAATTGAATTTTTGTTTGCATGCCTTTGAGTCGCAGGAATCACTTTTCACAATAAGAATCGAGTAGAGGCCAATACGGGCGAATGTGACTCCATGACTCACTTCGTACCATCATCCCCAATCCTCCTTTCGTGGTTCCGAACCATATGGAGTTAGTAATCTCATGAATTATGAATGGGGTGTAACCTTCACGGGTCAATCGTTGTTGCCTTCGTTGTCCCTTTATTCGTGGTTGCCTTTTATGATCCGTGAACGGTTTACAAGTTCCTTAAAAACTTGTCGGCGGCTCCCTAATTTCCTTGTCCCTAATCGTATTATGTCAATTCCCACTTCCTATGAGTGCCAAACATATTCACCACATGCTTTTAACGTAGGCGCACTTCGAACGATGCCTACAAGGGGTGATCAATGAAGTTGGGTCAAAAGCTTCATCCTGGATGGCATTTTGATTGGTCATTGTAGCGACATGATTTTGCTCTAGTCCAAATAGCAAGTTGAATGCTTGCCTATCATAGCACCCTGGAGTTGGATACTTTGATTTAACGATACTAAAATCGTCATCCAAGAAGTAGCAATCGTGAAATATTTCGAATCTAGGCTTCTTGATTCCTTCCAAAACCAATGGTTCTGGAAAGTCATAGCATGGGTAGTCTTCTCCTTCCCTAATGAACAATCCATTAAGGGTTTGTTGATAGGATGGGAGTAAAGTGACTATCCCCTTGTTGTTGTCATCTCTACGTGCCTTTCTTTTCGCATCGTGAGACTTCAATTCTTCTTTAGTTGGTTTGTATCCCAATCCAAAGGTGAAGCTTTTCTTTGGGATAGGAAGTAAGAAAGATTTCTCTACGTGTCTTTCTTTTCGCATCGTGAGACTTCAATTCTTCTTTAGTTGGTTTGTATCCCAATCCAAAGGTGAAGCTTTTCTTTGGGATAGGAAGTAAGAAAGATTTCTTCATTCCTATTCCCAAAGACATCCCAGGAAAGTAACTACTCTTAAATAAGATATTGTTTACTATCTGGGTGGAATATGGATCAAGCTTGAAAGGTTCTTCCAAGTATTCTTCCATTTCTATTGTGCAGATTGGCTCCGCGGCGAATCCCCACATGTCCTCTTCATCATTGTCATGGTTTATTTCTAGCAGTGATTGATCGTTTATTGCTATTTTTAGTGGAGAAGCATGCATAGTCATAGGAAGCCCTTGATAGTTCAACCTAATCAATTGATGAAGTGAGGATGGTATTGCACCAAGCTCATGTATCCAAGGACGTCCAAGTAGAAGGTTAAATGTAGGTTTTATGTCCATAACATGGAATTCAACCATCTTTGTATTGGGCCTGTGGTAATTGGTAGCTTAACAGTTCTACAAACCGATCTTCTCGAGTTGTCATAGGCCCTAATGCTTTGTGTTGTTGATTGAAAATCTTTTTCAGGATTAAGGCCTAAATATTTTGCAGTTTGCAATGGGCATACGTTTACAACTGACCCATTGTCTACCAAAGTTAGAGGGATGTTATATCCCTTGCACCCCACAGTTAATTATAATTCATTGTTGTGGGTAGTGTCTTTTGAAGGCAAATCATCATTAGTGAAAATGATTGACTTGTCAGATTTCTCGCTAGTAAGCAAGCTAACGAGATCTTGAGGGGTTGTGTCAGTGCTTACAGACAAAGCCGTTAGAGCGTTCATAAGGTAATTCCTATGTTCTTTAGAAGTACTTAGGAATTCCCAAATGCTAACATTCGCCTTGGATTGGCGAAGTTGTTTGAACAATGGATCTTCCACCTCAAGAGGAGGTGATACTGTATTTTGTACTTGACCTTGATTTTGCGTGGTCGAAGATCCATTTGGTGGTGGTGCCTGGTAAATTCGTCCAGAACGAGTTAAATGATCTATCTCGTTTGGATTAGTTGTAGGACTTATGAACCAACTTTCTTCTAGAGGCTTTGAGCGTGCCTCCATTTCAAAATGTTCCATGAGTTGAGCTTGATGCCATTGTTCATCCAAGGAGAGTTTTGATAAGTCTTGTGACTTCTCCAAGAAATGATCCCAATCAAGCGCTCCATTTGTTTCATTTTAACAAGATGGAGGTGGGACGGCGGCATACTTAGAGATATATAAGTCTTGAAAGTCGCCGTCCCATAGCCCACATACTTCATTAGTTTCCCCTATGAGTATTGTGGGTAGAGGTTCTCCTATAGGTGTGATGTAGTTCAATGGATTGAACGTATCGCTTCCCATATGGTCCTCATCATTGTGAAACACCCCCAAGGGGGACGCATTATTGTTTGGTTTAGGCGTGGGAATTCTCCCATCGTCTACCAAATCCTGTATTTTATATTTTAAGACAAAGCAACGTTTAGTGTCGTGTCCATTGCCTCTATGATAAGCACAATAAGCATTACCATCCCAATTAGGAAGCCTTCTTTCTGGTGGAGTGGGTGGTGTTGGTCCTGTTGGTGCAAGTAAGCCTTTTTCATTTAATTTTTCTAACAATTCTTTATAGCTTACAGGAAATGGAGTAAATTTTATTTCTTTTGTCCATCTTTTCCTAGGATCATTATATTGATTTGTGTTGTGGTATTGCGTGGAGGTCGCAAATACATCAATAAAGGATGATGAGCCATCATTCCCCTTCTTGTAGTTATTTTTAGGTTGATGATGATGAGGCTTATTTGCTTTTTCTTTTGCAAGATCATCTTCAATCCTAGTAGCCACGGAATAGACCTTTTGGAAAGTGTCTAAACCAAGGCAACATAGATTCTTGTTGTACTTTTCATGACAATTGTCAATAAACTTTTGTACTAGCTCGAGTTCGGGTGGCCTTTGGGCAAGGTGGGCCGCCTTTTCTCGCCATCTACCATAGAAAGCAAGGAAACCTTCATCGTCGCCTTGCTTAAGCATTTCGAGTTCACGTAGAGTGGACTTGAACTCTACGTTACTCTCATATTGGGTAATGAAAGCCGAAACTACATCTTCCCATGTTGCTTTGAATTTTGGGTCTAGCCCATAATACCACTCTCTTGCGGTTGGGTCTAGAGACAAAGGGAAAGTCAAAGCATAAAGCTTAGGATCAACCCCCTTTAGTGCCATGGTGCCAGTAAAACACATTAAATGATTTTGTGGATTATTGGTCACCTTGAATATTGGTAAGTCCGTAGCTACGAACTTTTCCGGTAAAGCAAGTCCTGCGGGAGGAGCAAAATTTTCTGCGTCAAAGTACTTGTTCCCCATTGTAGAACAAAGAACTAGCTTCTCTAACGACTTTTCTTTGATGGATAATTGTTCCATCTTTTCTTGTAAGGCTAAAGTTTCAGCATTTTTCTTACTAGCCTTTTCAATTTTCTTAATTCTCTTTCCCTCGGCTTCTTGATCATTTTCTTCTCTCAAACGAAGAATCTCATCTTGAAGTTCTTGAATGGTAGACATCGTTATTGGACTAGGACTAGTTGTCGAAGGAGAATGGTTTGAAAGGGTTGGATCTTTAGGTGGTAAACGTAAAAGGCGAGCGCCCGAGATTCTTCTTTCCCAAGATTGGAAATCGGCCCTAAAGAAGTACGAAAGGATAAGTAAACTAATATGCTTTCTTAAATTAGAAGGGGAAGAAGGAAAAGAAAAAGAAAAAAAAAATGACGCAAGATATATTCGAACAGATAACATTGCCCCCAACAATTCTTGAATAAAGATATCGTTTTCACGAATCAACTTGTTATTTGCAAAATCAAAACTGATTCGTACAGTAGGTGCGCGCAAATAATTAAGTTGCGCGCGGATGTCGCGCACAACTAATTTTCTTGCGCTGGGTATGGGCACGTAACTCTATGAGTTGCGCGAGCCACCTGCTCGTATGACTTTTTTTTTTGTTCGAGCGTTTTTTTTATTTTCCCTTCTTTTTTTTTACATCGTTCTTTTTTTTGTTTGTTTTTTTTTATGTTACCCGTTGAATATGACTCTAAATTACGAAGAGACGACTTCGTAATTGGGAACCTAGACCAAGCTAAAAAGAAGAAAGAAATCTATCCTAACACGTTGCATATAGTCATGTAATCACATAAGCATGCCACAAGTTATAATCCACATATTGCCATTCTAAGGTCGAAAAGGCTTGGGTGTCCAAGGTACCATATCTTAAGAAACAACGCACAAATAAATCACTCAACGAGTTGACTCATGACATCGCTCCCCCAACGTTTTGTTGGTGATATGAGAGGGATGATTGTTATTGATTTCGGGATAGAAGCCTAGTGTTGGCAACCCCTAGTCAATGAGCCAATCCCCATGGTTTAAGTGTGCTATACTTATGCATGATGCAATGTTGCTTGTTTGACTTTTAGTTTTGTGCAAAAGGAAGATATTATGCATTCAAGTCTCGCTCTCTAACTAGAGATTATCAAAGTTAGCTCTCGTTACAACCCATAGGTAACTTGGTGTTGGATACCTTGGACCATAACTACGAACTAACACTAGTAGAAAAATACAAATAGGCAACCCCCAATTGGCATCGGTTCAGACCAAACCGGTGCCAAAAACCGGCCTAAAATTGGGCGGGGATTTAGACCAAGAATAATGGCACCGGTTCAGATCAAACTGGTGCCAAAAATAACAAGGACACCGGTTTGAACCGGTGCCACTGAACCGGTATACCAAAAAAAAAAAACTGGGATTGTTCATTTATAAACCCTAACATCCTTATCTCTCCTCTTAGCTTCTCTCTCCTCTCTTTCTCCTCCAAGGCTCCAACTGAGCGCCTCTCCTCCTTCTCCTCCAACTGAGCGCCTCTCCTCCTCTATCCTCTCTTTCTCCCTTCAGCTTTCCGACCTCTCTTCTCTGTCTCTCTCCCCTCTCTGTCCTCTTCTTCTGACCTGAAAACTACATCTAAGCCCGGCTTCTCCCCTCTCGCAGTAGGTGCTTCTTTCTTGCCTCGCTCTTGTGACATGCATGCTATGTTTCCCGGTTAACCGCCTCGCCTCGCCTCGGATCTCTTTCTAGAACCACCTCCTTAGAGTGAGTTATAGGCGACGAACTCAATGTTTCTGGGTTTAATAATTCGGGGTAAGGGATTCTGGGTTTAATTATTTATGGTATGTGCCTTAATTTTTTTGGGTTTGATTGTTGTAATATTGTTCGAAATTGATTGGTATAATTGATCTTGGAATTATTTGGGTTAATTGATTTTGTCGTTTTTTGCACTTTATTGATTTTTCGAAATTTCTGGGTTTAATTGATTTTCGAAAGTTGTGGGGTTAATTGATTTTCTGGGTTTGCTGGGTTTAATTGATTGCTGGGTTTGCTTCTGGGTTAAATTGATTTTCTGGGTTTAATCGATTTTCTGAATTCTGGGGTTAAATGATTTTCTGGGGTTAATCGATTTTCTGAATTCTGGGATTAATCGATTAATTCAGAAAACCCAGCAAAATTCTGGGGTCAACTAATTTTGCTGGGTTTAATCGATTGTTGGGTTTGATTTTGGGTTAATTGATTTTGGGTTAATTGATTTTCTCGTTCATGCATTAGTTTTCTAGGTTTGCTTCTCGTTTTTTTTTTTTTTTTAGTTTTAATAATTTCTGGGTCTTAATTTATGCAGGTGTTAATTCATGCAACAAGGATTCAAGGTTTCGATTTTGGAATATTATTTTGATGTTGTAAATTTTTTTTTTTTTTTTTATTGTTTTACAATTTCAATTTCTGAGTTAAATTTCATTATAATTCATTGTAATTTTTTTTTTGTATGGTACAATAACAATTTACTTGTTGAATATAATGTGATTTACCATTGTTTTGATGTTGAATATAACAATTTCAAGAATCCTTATTTCACCATTTATTTTTGTTTGGTTCGTATTTCATGTTTGTTTATAGATTATTTTTATTATTATTGCAAGAAAAAAGTAAAAAAAAAATAAAAAAAAAATACCAAAAAGGCACCGGTTAACCGGTGTCTAAAACAACTACCACTAACATAAAGTATTCCGCGAAATTATTTAGGGCACCGGTTAACCGGTGCCAAAACCGGTTTATGGCACCGGTTTTGAACCGGTGCCAAAAAGGGGTGTAATTGGCACCCCCCACACAGGCAGCGGTTCAAACCGGTGCCTTAAGCCGGGTTTGAACCGCTGCTAAATCCCTCATTTCACCTAGTGTAATCATGTAACCTCTAAGTCCCCAGTGGAGTCGCTACTGTAAGGAGGGTGTTCCCATCGTAGGGGATCCTTCTCCTTAGATGCTGTAGGGAATAATTTCAAGCGTTAATCCCCTTAGCTTGAACTCCACTGTGATCATACACTAAAGTACGGTGGCGTCCAAAAGGGAAGAAGATATAGCAAAAGAGTCGCCAACAAGTTTTAGGAACTTGTAAACCGTTCACAGGGTGAAGGTTACACCCCTTAACGATCCAAGAGATCGTCAACTCCATAAGGTCTAGAACCAAATAAGGGTTCGGGGATGAACGTACAAATCCAACCTAAAAGAAATTGAACCTGCCCTAATAATAGGCCTCTACTTTATTCTGATCGTATTCATGTGCGCTTTCTGATTAACATGCAATCAATAGGTTAACCCTAAACCTGTTTAATCTATGTTGGTTGAATATTAATTCACAAATAAACTATTATTGCCGATCACTTTAATTATAATCACATTAACCCTAACAAGATTATTAAATATCTTATTAAGCGTGATTACAAGTACAAATTCCCTTTAAACATGCATAAAAGGTGTGATCAAGCAATAACAATAAATATAATATGTATCAAGCAACATAATAATAATCATAATAAATATCATGAATAAAATTACAATCATAAATAAAATAATCATCATCAAAATAATAATAATCATAATCATATTCATGTTAATATTAAAGCATAATAAAAATAGCAAGATCCTAGGCATGATACTAACAAGATTAATAACAAGCCCTAGCATGTCACTAAGCAATAAAAATCAAAGCCTTAGCCCTAACATGATACTAACAATCATAAATATTAGGAAGAACGTGGGAAGCATCGTAACAATCATATTTAATATTAAAATTACCCTAGACATGATACTAGGAATATCATAATAACAATGTAAACATGATTTCTACATCATAATATCAATAAATCAATAAAGTACTTACTTTGATGTCTCGTACCTCTTTCTAATAACAAAATACACACGTTAGTAACTTCAAGGAAAATAATAAACAAACAATTAAATTAAATAATTGAAATAGTGATTTGGAACCAAACCCTCAGAAATTAAACCTTTCACGTCTAGGGCAAAGTCAACTTCGAATATGGCTAGGTGTTTCTAGATCTTGTGAATGCGGAATTTTGTATATGAAAACAAAGTTTAGAGAAAGAAAGAAAGAAAGAAATAATCAAGAAAACTTGATGAGAATTGGTGATGAATGATGAATATTGATGAATGAAAACGGAGTTTTTAATACGATATTTATAGAGAAAATCAGCCTAAAAGATAAATTAAACAAAACAGAGTCTGACGCACAAAAAACAGAGCTGGCGCTAACCCTGGCTAGCTGGCGCCAGGCACCAACACTAGCGCCAATGGCTAGCGCCAGGCCTGGTTCTAGGCGCCAAGCTTAATTTTAACGCATTTTCGAAAATCCGATAAGTTTGCCGTACTGGAGGATAAAATCATATAATTTCCTCGAAAATGCTATTTGATCTTGATTAAAACTCTGAAAAGTCAACAAAAGTCAATTTATCAATGCTAATTGAATTAGGAATGAAAAGAACCTTAGAGAAGAATCTAGAAGACTAAAACCATTCCTAATTGCATTAGGAATGATAAATCCGTATTAGGCCCTCCCCTAGATCATTGGGCCGCATATAAGGCTCAAACTGGGCCCAGTTTATTAAATTAGCCATAACTTCCTCAACATTCATCGGAATTGGGCTTATGATATATCGTTGGAAAGCTCTTTGCAAGCCCCATCCAACTACACTACTATTGGACCCATATCATGGACCAACCAAACTGGATTGGTTATTTTCTTAAAATAGGTTTTTAAAAAACAGAGAGAAAAGAAAAGAAATTAAAACTATCCGCAACACTAAACTTTCCACACTTTCGCTTCATTCGATTATGACTCGACGTGAAAGGTACTCATCACTGGGTTTGTTATTAAGGAGACACAAATGGGTGTCTACAGAAGCCCCCACTTTGACTGAGTTTGGAGAAACACGAGTTTCGAAAACAAAAGTCAAAGTATCAATAGGGACGGAGAATAATTCAGAACGTTCTGCGATCCTAAATCACTCTTGCAACGCCGATACCTGCAAACTAACGTTAGTTAAATAGATAAAAGAGTTAAGAAACGCGTATTTTGCACCGTCGAGCACACGTCTCTAAAAGTAACCAATTGCTGCTGTATCCTTGTTTTGATGACCTCCTACAAGCTAGAGAATGCCATCCCGCTTGAAAACTGCTACGCCTGTAACTGCTTCCAAATTAGAAGATTGCTTCGCCTGAAACTATCCTCCTCCGCTATGATAGTATTCCACATCCAAGGGAATACCATCGAAGATTATTTATCTTGAAACAATCTCCATCCGCATTGATAATATTCCACATCCAAGGGAATACTATCGAAGATTATTCCTCCTGAAATAATCTTCAGTTGCTTTTTGACAACTTTCCACCATCTATGGAACACCATCTTGTTGTTTGTTTTGACGATCTTCCGCAATCTAGGGAACGCCGTCGATCAATAATGCTACATCTTGAGCCTTTTCTTGAATCATAGTGACAACCTCCACAATCTTAGCGAATGCCGTTGAAGACCGCCCATCTCGTGCTATCTTCTCAAATCTTGGGTGATAACCTCCACAATCTTAGCGAATGCCGTCGAAGACCGCCCATCTTGTGTTATCTTCTCAAATCTTTGGTGACAAGTTCCACAATCTTAGCGAACGCTGTAAAAAATAACTTTACTTGAAGTCATCCTCAGTTGTTGCGATAATATTCTAAAGAAAATTACCGAAGACCAACACTTGTCGATCCTTAAAGCTCGCTCGAACTTTGCTTCCGCTATGCCTATACATCGGCGCTTTCGTTGCTTTGAACCTATATGTCGGTGCCTTTTCTGCTTTTGAGCCAATGCTTAAGCGCTTTAAGCTAAGTGAGACGATCTTTCATCAGGTCGATCACTTATTTGTTGTCGTAATCAAACCGACTACTTAATCATGTCAAATTGCTTATAGGGGCTAACTAGCGTACCAAGGAACCCGAAATCGTTGTTCTGTTGCTGCTGAGATATCTCTGGCGCCAGGAATTGGAGTAGGGTCTTCCTTGTTCTGCTGCACCTGTATTAATTTTTGACTATAGAACTTTGCCAATCTCTTTAATTATCTTAGGGTTGACCTATGGTTTAGCATTACTTGACTCATCAACTTGACACGACTCAAGGTATAAACTTGACTCTCTGTGATTAACTGACTCGAGGTTGACTCGACTCAAAGTAAAATGACACATGTGACTCGTGACCCGTGTGTGCATAGTGTTGACTCAATGTGACTCAAAAATGCAAAAAGCAAAAATTTTCCATCATTTTTGTGGAGGGTACCGACTTTCTCCCGAAAAAGAAAGACGCGAAAAAAGAATCGAAGTGTTTGAAGGTGCATGTTGAATGAGCTTAGTCAAATGTTGTTTGATACTATCTCTCAAGGTGCAAGGATTAACCCATCCTAGGCTATCTCAATGGTTGACTCAATGATGAAAGTATTTGGGTAACTTAGGCACGGAGGCTAAGCACTTCATACTTCATGATGCAATGATGATTGATGTTGATATGACAAGGCATGCTTCAGCGTTGCGTTAAGATTCCATGACAAAGGGTTCCTAAGAGAAGGTATGTTTGGTCATGTATATGTGCAGTGTGTGAAAGTGACACTAAAGTTAGGTTGCAAAGGCTAAATGTGTGGAAAGAATATTATTTGTTAAAAGAATCAAATGGTGGTGACTCTTAGGCTAGGTAAGCTAATGATGTAGGGATCAAGCCCCAAAGTCTAGCTCTAAGTGAATGGGGATGAGCATTGGAGATCCCTTGATATGATCATGGTGTAAGTGTGTGAATGTGAATATGAATGCATGTTTATTATGGTCGCACCTCGATGTGAGGTTGCCTACGTATCCGTTAGGAATCAGGCCAAACGTAGCTCTAGCTGAACCTCGCACAAGTGTGTATACCTCAAAAAGGTCTTTTAAGGGTTGTAACGTGGTTAGGCTAAAGGCTGAAGAAGAAGGGGATAAAAGGCTCAAGACCCTAGATAAGCCCCCAAGGTGTGCAACCTCGCTTTCGAATCTTTATATTTTTATGCTTGAGTTTCTACTCTTTTTTAGCTCTTTTTGCTTTAGCATTTATTTTATTTTAATAAGTGTGGGCAATCCCGATCATGCGGTCTATCACTCACTTGGCATTCATGTTTCTCAGGCACGGTACCGAGCACTCGATAAAAGACGCAATCTGAGACGTGTTCTTATTAAAGACATTGGAACACTTACACTTTTGTACACTTTTATTTATTTTTTACTTTGCTTATATTTGCTATTTTAGTCTTTTGAATTACTCAAGCTCTTTTTGAAATTGCATAAGTTACACACCATCCCATCCCAAGGTTAGGTAGATGTAGTTTGAAAAAAGAAAGGGTCTATCGTTAGACGAGGCTCAAAGTGGTTTATGAAGAAAGGATTGTAAAATTGAAAAGTGAAAGGAGATATGATGTGGCTACAAGGGGTGCCTTAAATCATTGGTATACCTTGTGTTTAATTCGACATTTTTTTTTTAAATGCAATGCAATGAAATGATCATA